TACTTTATGAGAATTTTGATAAGTACTAAAACCCCCTTGTGAATATTTGTGCATTGATAGGCATCTTTAAGTAAAGAAACTTTATTCTGAAGCTATCTCTGATTTCTGGATTTGTGACTTGCATTTGGATCTTTGTAGCAGTCATTTGCTGGTTTTGGCATTTCATTCCTATTTCCCCCATTCCTGGTAAGAAGGGGTCTCTTTATTTAGGAGTCCATTTCTCTCCTCCCATTTGGTACTAGGCAGGTGCAATGGACTCCACTAGTGATTCTAGATATGTACTGTGTGAGTTCAGACTTGACACTGAACTGTGTCTTTAGTTGTTACCTTCTTTGGTTGTAAGTACATTATTCATTCTGAGACAACAAAACACAAAGAGAATTTTTCAGGAGAATATGGATTCATTCTTTAGCAATGAATATAGACTATAAAAGATAAAACTAACAAGAAAAAAGTGGGCTAGGTAACATTGAAAAAATTTTGTCCTGATTATATTGATTAATCCAGATATCAAATATCTGGATATCAAATCCAGATTTCCTCCAAACCAATCTTACCCACAGACCTCAAAAGTCAGTATATTTCCTTTTTAGTTAACATAAATTTGGATTGGATTTTCTGCTACTTGCAACTATAACAGTTAGTTTGTATCTCCCTGATACCTAGAGAGCCTGAGCATTTAAACGTACGTCTTCCATGAAGTTTTTGAAGTACTTTTGAGAAGAGAGAAAGCTGTATAAAGAAGTAGTGGAGTAAGAAGCCATCTACAAACCATTGAGAGATTTGGGATACACCCTTTCTTTATAGCCTTCAGAAAATAACATGCAAACAAGCAAGCAAAACACAAACCCAGCTCTGCCAAAAATTGGATCCTGAACTTTAACCTTCAGAATCAAGAAACAAGCAATTTGTGTTAAGACACCAAATGTGTCATACTTGGTGCAACAATTTTAGCAATGAATATAAACAGTGAAGCAGACTTGTGTTGGAACCCCAGTGAAATCAATAAAAGAAGTGTAATTTCATTTTGTTTGATTTACAGACATTGTTACAAATTTCATCATGTGTAGAACTAGAAATAGAATTTAAAAATGTACTTGGAAACATTAAGGATGCAGCTATAAAATGAATAAAGGAACAGATTGAACAATCTTCTTAGTCAAAGCTGACATCAAGGAAGTTTGTGTTTGGCATGAAAACAAGGGGGCCTTTTTTAGCATGTGTGACAATTCTATGTTCTTATACTTTGTTGAACTACTTAGAAAATTAAAGAGATGTGATATGACATTATGAATTTTCTTACAAATATTTCAGAAAGCAACATTTTCTTTCTTTTTTCTTTTATTTTTTATTGGAAAGGTGGATATACAGAGAGGAGGAGAGACAGAGAAGAAGATCTTCCATCCAGTGGTTCACTCCCCAAGTGACCACAATGGCTGGAGCTGCGCCAATCTAAAGCCAGGAGCCAGGAGCCTCTTCCGGGTCTCCCACGCGGGTGCAGGTTCCCAAGGTTTTGGGCCATTCTCGATTGCTTTCCCAGGCCACAGGCAGGGAGCTGGATCGGAAGCAGGCTGCCGGGATTAGAACCAGTGCCCATATGGGATTCCAGTGTGTGCAAGGTGAGGACTTGAACCACTACGTTATAGTTCTGGGACTGAAAGCAACATTTTCTATAAATCTTTCAATTAAGAAGTAAAGAAGTTTCTGGATAATCCCATTTTTGATAAGTTTTATAGCTGATTTATGCTTAAAATCTCTCAAGCAGTAATTAATGGAAATCAATACAATTTTCATTAGTTGCAATTGTCTTAAACTACTTAATTTTTTCTATGGAACCAGAGGAAAACATGTAAAAACTGAAGTTTAATTTTTGCATCAATACATATCTCTTTTTGATAAAGATTTATTTAATGTATTTGGAATAAAGAGAGAGAGATGGAGAGATAGAGAGGGGAGACATCCTTAATCTGCTGGTTCACTTTCCAAATGGCTTCAAGGGCTGGAATTGGGCAGGCTGGAGCCAGGGGTCAGGAGCCTCCTCCAGATCTCTTAGACCATTGTATTAGGTGTGATTTAAAATGAATTCATTTGATTCGAAAAGTCAAAGAGGTATTTCATTAAAGAGTATATATGACACTAATTTTCAGATAGGCTAATCCATGAAAACAGGTAGAGCTATAAATTAAAGCTTCCTAGCTGTTAAATAAAATGATCTAATTAATTTTGTATTGTTTTGTTAAATCCCTGACATGTTTTGCCATCATGTATTTTGGTGCTGGATAAGGGAGCAACAAAATACTGTTTTGCAGAAAACTTGTGTCTATCCTAGTATATGAAAGACAAATAAAAAAAAGATTATCATTCCTTTGCCCTTACTCTCCAAATAGAGTAATCCAACCTATAATCAAAAATTGATTTCTTAAAGATAAAGCATTTTATTGTTTGCCCTTTCTACCTGAACTGTATGATATTGCCATGGTCTCAATTTACACTACATAGAATTTATAGGAATAAGTTCATCTAAAATATTTGTGAAAAATTGCAGGCAAATAGTTATATCAATAGACAATGAAATATTGTTCAGGTTAGCACTTGCAACTTTAGAGAGGAAAGTTTTCAGTGTTATGTGAAGAGCTTTCTTTCAAATTTGTTCTGTTTCATGAGGCTTGTCACAAGCCTGTGCTATTTTTAAAGCTCTGCCTTAGAATAAGACTCCATGGAGCACACAGAACTGTGTGGCTGAGAAACATACTTTCCATTAAAGAGCTTTCAAATACCATTTTAACACATTGTCATGTATCTCATTCCCAACATCATCTTGGCTTAATCATCTAATGTTTTGATCTGATCTTTTTAAAAGAAAAACAATGGTTTCCCCCCTCCATTTCCTATGCTTTCATTCCATTTAAGACACTGTACATCTTGCTAAAGCACATAAGCTATGGCCATATAAGTTGTAGAATATATGCAATAAGAATATCAACACTACAGGAAATTGTTTTTCAACTACATGTTGCTGAGTCTCACTACAGAAAAATGACACTTCTGTCTGAAATGCTAGATTCCCCACTGAATTCTGCTATTTTTGGTGTATCTTAAGTGTGTATGTTTATGTGTGTGTACCCACAGTGAACTTGGTTATGAGTCAGACAGCAAAAGGTCGAGCAGTTACTTGTAATTCTGCATCTTGCGCTCTTAAAAGCACATTTCTCAAAGGTGCTACAGTGTTTCTAGTTTTGCTCATCTTGATTATTTCTCTATTATTTTCTCAATTAATTAAAATTGATGAAATTCTGATTCCCTTGCATTCTTTTTTATTCATTTTTGAAATTTTTTATGCCTATAAGGACATTTACCTTATCCAGTTGCAAACTTAAAATAAGCTCTCCATTTCTCCAGATCAGTGATGGCAAATGTTAAACAAATTTACATTTGGGATTTTCTATTCATTTCCCACTTGGTTGACACTGAACCAATGATAACCACTCAATAGCTCGGCAGGCGTCAATCATTTGTGTGACTCAGGCTGTTACAGTTTGTTGATGACTATATCATGTAGGGCTAAATTAAAAGCCTCACAATGACATGAGAGGTCATATCTACTACTTTTTTTCTTTCTGTTCCAAGAGCACCTTCCCTTTTAAAAATGTGGAAACTAATTTCCACTGTAGTCAATCTAAATGTTAAACAAAACTTCTGCTGAGTACAGGAGTATGTAAAATGGAACTTGGAGACCTGTAAAATTAAAACACATGAAAATATTTTCCCTTCCTGGTCAATTTAGGTTCCTCCTGTGCCAATGCCTGCCATGGTTAGTACTGGAGAGTGGTCTCTAGTTGTAAGTGGTTTTTCTAGCTCTTGGAAGTTAATTTTTGGTTAATTTTTAATCATGTACATTTTAAAATATCATGACTGCTCAATCATTAAACTGATTAAAGTGAAGATTTAACCTTTGGCACAGAGGAGTGATAACTTCTATTGTCAAAGAAAACATTGTCAGAATACCTAGGTTTTCTTGTCAGTTAACCAGCCAAAGCCACAAAAGCATGGGCAAGATCATTCAACTTTGCCTTGGTGTCATAATTTGAAAAGTAAAGATAACAACATCTATTTTGTCTTAGGCTAGGATTTCGATGTGGCCACCCAAACTTCGACTGAGACTTGATCCCATGTTGAAGGGCATTAAGAATGTATAAATTTAATCCAAATTTGGTACTGGGAGATGGGGCCTCTGGGAGTGGTGAAGGATCATTGAGGCTACAAAAGAGGATTCCTAATTGGATAGAACCATGTCTTCTTGTGTCCATCTGACCTTGACCTTGTCAGGCTTCAGAATGTTGAGCTAAACAAAGCTTTATTCTTCATAAACTATCAGTCTGGGGTTTTCAGTTTTAGCAATAGAAAACAGACTGGAACTCCTAATGTGAAAAGCTTTGTCAACCATTAACTAAGATAAAGCACTTATATTGTATTTCCTGTAACACTCTAACATTTTAAAATACGTTACTGTAAGCTACTTTTTAGTAAAAATAAGCCAAACAATGCATTTCACAAGGATCCAAATTTCTAGTTTCTGACAATATACATCTCTTACTTTGTGATCGAGATCATAGTTTAATAAAAATATTAATGCATCATGTGATATAAGGATCTTTCTTTCATATAAATTGGATTACAGAGAAATGAAAGCAGCTGTTTTCATAATTCAAAATAAAACTTCTTCCAACCAAGCACTCCAAATTGTGTTGTGCATTTGAAATTGACTCGGTAGATCAAAGAACTATGATAATTTTTCCTTGTCTATAATTTCACTTAGCATGGTTTCAGCTACTTATGATCAAATGAAAGTATTAGGAAGAAAACTCCGGAAATAAACTGTTTTAAATTGCGATCTATTTTGAATAGCGTGACAAAAATTTCCCACTAACTCTTTGCCAAGTGTATACATGTTGTACATGGTACCTTCCCATCACTTACCAAGTAACTGTCTCAACTATCAGCTCAACTGTCAGGATTTCCAGTATTTGTGTGTCATCCTTGCACAGGGGCCATGCTAATCTCTGTATCGTTCCAATTTTAAAATATGTGCTGCTGAAGCAAGCACAAGATTTCCAATATTTGTACTATGGTAACCCTTATTTTACTTAATAATGATTCTGAAGTGCAAGAGAGGAATTTAGAAACTTGGAAATCACCAAAAATGAGCCCGAAGAGTGCCCTCATCGAAGAAAAAGTTAAAAGCACAATAAAATGTAAGTTTTAAAAATTAATTAATTACATTTATTTGGAAGCTGAGAGAAACCCAGAGAGAGAGAGAGAGAGAGAGAGAGAAGAGAGAGATAGGGGGAGGGAGGGGCGGGGGGAGAGAGAGAGAATATGAGAGAGAAATCTTCCACCCATTGTTTATTTCCCGAAATACTGGCAACAGTGAGGCCTGAACCAGGATGGAGCCAGGAGTTGTGAATTCAATCTAGGGTCCAATTATGCATGGATCTATGCCGGGGTTTGCATCTTCTGTCTTTCAAGGTCTGTATTAGCAGGAAGCTGGAATTGGGAGCAGAATTCGGATTGAAAGCCAGTCACTGATACTGGATGCAGAAGTCTCAAGTGGCATCTGGATTGCTGTGCCATACACCTACTCTGCAATAAGATAATTTGAGATAGCAAGAGAGACCACATTCATGTAATTTTATTACAACATTTTACTGCAGTTGATTTGTTTTATTGCTTGTTGGCATTGCTAATCTCTGTCTTTTATTAAATACTTTTTAATTTGGATGGCAAAGTGACAGAGAGAGACATACACACTCAGTGAACACAAAAGAGCTTTTCAATGTCTTGCTTCACTTGCACAGACGGTTTCAAAGGCCAGGAATGGGATAGGTGAAAAGAAGATTCCTGTAGGTTCGTTTGGGTCTGTCATGTATTTGACAGCGGGTCATCTTCTGCTGACTTTCCAGGCCCACATTAACAAAGGGCAGCATTGAAAGTACAGCATGTGCTATTGGGACCATTCCTGTGGTGTGGAATGTACATATATCAAAAGGTGGCTTACATCACTACAACACAACACCTGCCCTTTCGATAATCTCTTATAGTGTTGAACTTCCAAGTTAAACTTTATCATGCACAGCTATGTGTAAGAACAAAATCAGTACATATGGAGCTTGGTACTGCCCATAGTTTCAGGGAGGCTTGGAATATATCTCCTGCAGTGAAGAACACCCAACTGTGTTTTGATGAAACACAGAAGAAAATACAACCAGAACATCTAAGTACAGTTCTGTTAGGAATGAATGTTTCTGTATTGTAAATTACATTATAAAAATGTTAATTTTGTATTGTTTTCTTTTTAATCAAATTGTGTAAGTGTAGTATATCCAGAGAGCGCAATTCTCTACAGTAACTGGAAGATGTAAATTTTTTTAGATGTAAATTAGTCGCTCAGATCATACTTGTCAGTGCTATACCTAGGAAATTGCTTTTAGAATAGATGAAATGCAAATAGGGATAGTAGAATGGGATTTTTACTTTCCTATAACCTCTCGTACAACCTGCTTTCCTATAATTATCCCCTACTGTCTGAGCAAGCTGAGTTGATAATAATAGTGACAGGAGTTATACGGGAGACAACAGGGAAAGTGAAGGTATGAAGATTGGGTAGTTAGTAGAACTATAATCTTTTCATGTAGGATATTCCCTATCTTAAAAACGCAAATTCAATTTTTTTTTAACAGACTTGCCTAACCTTTAGATGCTAAAGAAACAGACTTGACACAGCAGTCTATGATCCTTTCTTTAGTACTTATGAGTTGCAACTTGCTTGTATTTTGGTCTTACCTTTCCATTGAAAAGAACTTCATAGGCAGACAAGAAATTCAGTACTTAGGCAGATCAGCAGTCACATGCTCTGTCTGATTGCTAAGTTGTCACCATGACTAGATAAAGGAAAAGCACGCCTCCGTGGTGAGCAAGTCTGCATAGGGGCTCCATGGGATTTGTGGAGGCTCTTATGGAGTCTGCATCACAGCTTGTCTTCTCCTTCTTTTCCTTACTTCATTTACATACTGTATGTATGCATGTAATAGGCATTGATTTGGAGACCTCTCCTTATTAAATTTCTGCATACATGTAAAGCTTTATGCTAGAATATTTTTAAGTTAGAACACATAGCGGGGATCTTCCAAAAGTTTACTGAAAAATGGAATTAAAAGATAAATTTAGTTTGGTGCAAAAATTTCAAAATGTATGAATCCTTGTCTTTTTAATGGTATTTGCTTATTATCTGTCTTTCTCAGTCAAATGAAATCTCAGTGAGGGCTGGGATTTCATTAGCTTGTTCAGTACTATATTCCTAGTACTTGGGACCATGGAGTTCAACAATATTTGCTAAATAAATAGCCTTGCTTGGGATTACAAAACAAATAACCCTTGAAGTAGGGTGTAATCTTTATCTTGGATGTTCTCTTCCTTTCTGGCTTTTTGAAAGGTGCTAGGCTGAAGCTAGGGTGTAAGCTGAGCTTGGATGCTCGAGCTACCCCTGTCTCACACTGCTAATAAGCCACAGATTTTTTTCAATGGAGGCATTATGGACTTTTTGAACCAGGGTATTCTGCTTATTGTACAATGCTCAGCAATAGCCTTGGCCTCTACCTATTATTTGCCAATAGGGTCACTCACCTCACTGCTCAGGTATTGTCACATATTCCTTGGAGACAAAATTGTTCTTGGTTAAGCACTCCAGTCTTAAATTTTTGTGATCAATAGGTTCTAATACTTACTACCAGTAAAAAGGTTCATCTTTTAGAAAATGCTTATTTATTTTAATTTACTAAAAGACAGAGTGACACACTCACAGAATAAGAGAGAGAGGAAAGGGAGGTGAGAGATAGGGAGAAATGGGTTTTTAGTTTGGTAGTTTACTTCCCAAATGGCTACAACTGCTAGAGATGGGTCGGGCTGAAGCCAAAACCTGGAATATCATCTGTGTCTCCACATGGATGGCAGAAACTTATATGCTAGGCATACTAGCAGGGTTTTGGCATTGTGAAATGGAATGTATGCATCTGAAATAGCAGATTAATCTGTTGTTCCACCAGGTTCCTCCCTGTGTATGCTTTGTTCCCCAGCCCATGCCAGCCTGGAACCAGGAACCCATAACTCAGGCTAGCAGGGGCTCAAACAGTTTAACCATCATCTGCTACCTTGTAGGATGCATTAGCAGGATCAGAAACAGTAGCTGGAAATAAAATTGGTATTTCTCTATGGGATGCAGCTATCCAGAGCAACTGCTTAATCTCATGTGCCATAATGAGCGCCCATAAGTAGGTTTAATTTTTAAATCTTCCCTTGATCAACGTTTGTTTCTTTTACTGTTTCCAATCAACGGACAAACTTAAATGTAGAACTGATTTTGGAGTCTGTGGGTTATAGTTATTTTTAAAAATGTAGGTTGCTGGCAAAATTTCCTGACTGCTATGAATGAAAATTCTAAAAGAAAAAAAAAACTCACTTATGCATTGTTATAATCAGGATATCTGACTTATCAGTTTATAGAGATTTGCTCCATGGAACTGAAGACAAAAGGGAATACTTATTGCTGAGTGAGAATTCAGTAATAAATGGTAGAGTATTTTTGTAAACAGTAAACTGATACTCCATTTTTAAATCCTTTTGTTCCAATTCCTCCTCATTGAGCTTCCAGAGAAAATATCCTATTTTTCAATGTTATCATCCATATTCCTTTCTTTGAAAAGTCCTTATGATAAAGGGAATCTGTTTTCATGCTCCCTTTCCAAACATAAGGCACTATGCTTCAAGATATTTTTTTATCACTTAGGCTGATACTGATGATGATGCTACCTAACTCCAGGTCGGATATGAGTAGCAAATCATAATTACACTCGAGGTACAGCAGAATGAGACACTGCGGCGTCCGGCTTGAGTGCAGTCACTGGAGCACTGTGGGAGTGTGGAAAGTCAGTGGCAGAGTTGAGGACAGTGAGTGTATTCCGATGAAGGACGGAGGCTGACAGGAAGCCCTCCCTTACTCGTGTGTGCCTCTTCCTATCATGCTAAAGGAGAAGCAGAATGGAGTGTGTTCATACGGTGATTCTTTTGCTCATTATGGCTGGCAGAGTTCCTGCTTCCAGCAGATTATGCTTCAACCTTGAAGCTGAAATTGAGAAGACAAATCTGCCCAATAAGCAACTGTAAATGATAAAGCTGATACTTACGTATACACCTATAGATGTATATTTCTCTCTGTTTTTCCTTAATAGCTGGATGTGACTCAAGTCAAGCTAATCTTTTACGTGTCAGTTTCCTCATCTGTAAAATACGGGTAGACATGGGATTTCGCTCATATAGTTACTTCGATGGTGGTGGTGTTCATTTAACACATGAAAACTTAGAATATGCTCACAATGTGCGTTTACTCAAATAATCTAACATTAATATGATACTCTCTGTCTATATTCACTTTTGTATACAGCGCAACTGCCATATAATTATTCATTTAATATTGACTGTGGAGAAGGAGAATCAAGATGGCAGGATAGGGTAAGGACATGTTTAAATGGAAGAAAAAACATTTAATCAGGATGAAGCAGAGTGGGACACATTCCAGGAAATATGAGAGGACAGAACAACAGCAGAGGGGTACCAGGAGACTGACAAACACGGAAAAGCAGCGGACACAACAGTGCGGTGTTGCAGTGACTGATACTCCTGCGGCATTCAGCGAACAGCGATCTGAACTCCACCAGCAGCCAGAACTCTACCTGCAACCAGGTGGGAAGGGGCTTTCACTGGGAGCTTGGGAGGTAAAGTCAAAGAACTGTCCGTCCTGCTGGTCCATTTGATTTGACCAGGAGCAGAGACAGAGCAGCAACTCCCAGATGGGCAGTGTGAGAACAAAGTGGACTTCACAGCCCAGTCAGCCCCCTAGAGCTGAATTGAGCGCCATTTTGTGTAAGGAGGCAAAGGCAAGGGAAAGGACTGACTGAGCATGCGCTGAGCTGGGAGTGAACTCATTTCTGACTCAGTGAGCTGCAGGGACGTGGCACCCAAGACAGGTGCCATGTAGTTCTCAGACATGATGGC